CCCAGCTCTGTGTTTCAGAGTGTGAATGATGACCAGCTTCAGGGGGAAATCTTGATCCTTTGACTTCTCACCAGTAGGATGGGCTGGGAGATGGGGTACTATTACAGCATGATCTGTTGTTTTAACTTAAGCAGGAGGGAAGGATGAAGATTTGTTGTCATTTGATGTACAGGAATCACTGAATGAGTGTGATAAAAGCCACTGAGAATGTTGGAAGCGATAGCTAATTTTTTTTTATGGATTAATTCATCCCCCTACAGTAACAAAATAGGATTCTTTGGCAAAGAATCAGTGCAGCTTTATTCCTGGCTGTGGCATATTTAGGTTTGTGTTATCACCCACTGCCCACACTTGTGTTGCAGAAACTCCTGAGGGAACTTGTGAAGAGATGCGTTTTCAGTCAGCTGGCCCGAATCACTGCTTTGCTGATGAGCCCCTAAAGCTGCTGGAAACAGACCTGTTTCATGCCAGGCCAGTATAACCACAGACATGTAGGTCTGATTTCCTAGATTCAAAGACTGACTTATTGCACTGTTTAAGTTGGGTTTTCAATTTACCTGCAACCTGAGAACTCAGTATCTTAGGGCAGGTACAATATAAACAGTTGGTGCTGCAGATAAAGCCAACAACCTTCAAGAAAGACCTGATTCTATGACTGCTAATTGCTCTGATACCTTTACTAACCTCCTTCAAAAAGATTACAAAAGTCTGTGTTTCCTTCTGACCTGGGATACTGTCACTGTAAGCGGTGAAAGCTATCAGAGTTCTCCTCTTTTCTCTCCCTTTTCCTCTGTCTGGTTCCCCTGGGGACAGAAGATCCTGGCAGCTCGATCTACCCCAGGCGTTTGCCTTTTGTTTTCCTGTACTTTTCTCTTGGCACAATTCAGGAGTTTTCAGTGTTGTGCTTCTACAATCACATGCTAAAATATTTGCACAGCTGTCTGATGACAGAAAAGGGGAGAAATAGAAAATCCACTCTTCTGTTATTTGAAAACAAAACAAAAGAAACCTCCAAACAACTAAACAGAGTTTAACATGAATTAATCATGTAAAATCTTCAGTTTCCTCTGCTCTTGTATAACAGACTCCTCGTTCACTTTGCCTGGTTCTCCCCATGTCCTTCACCTTCTTGTACACACAAACCCACGTCTTCATGCTTCTCATAAAATGCCTGTGGGTTCAAACACCCGTGGGACTCTGTTGCCCACCTGTGTGCACTCACTTCAGCCTGTTCCTGCTGTACAGAAATAGGACCAACTCCTACAGGCTATAATCAGGCATTCTTCAGGCAAATCTCTGACTGAAGTCAGTGGAAGTTTTGGCAGAAGGACTGCAAAACTAATTACATTCCTCCCCCAAGTATATATATATATATTGGATGGTGATGAGAGATGAGAAAATACTGCCTAGAAAGAAAGTCCATTAATAAATGAGAAGTAGATGTGGGGAAGAACAGTTGATTGAATTATTTATAATGCTGTTATAAAATTGCTGAGTTGCTGAGCTTTCCAGAAACCCATCAATAACATGCATGACCATAGCAGCAGTTAATAGGAGTATAGACAAGTAGGAGCAAGGATCTCCATGCAAATCAGGTGTGGAAATACTGTGAAAAAAGCCTAGCATATCCAAATCACTTAGCACAGAATATATTCTAGTGTGGTGACAACATTACAATAGCCTTGAAAACTAGTTGTGAGTTAATTTTACCAGCAGTGCACCAGAGAATTTCAAGCAAAACCTGATCAAATGTGGGCCCATATTTTAAAAATAGAAAGACAGTACAGACGCTTCCTAACAAGCCTAACTACAGATCAGAGTGAAAAAATTTAACTGTATGTTTAAAAAAACCTGGATAGTGATACTCAGAGCAAAATGAACCTCAGTGTTCGAAAGAACCAATCATCACTTTTTTTGGGGGTCAGAATTATCTAATTAGTGATTGATGATACTAGAGCAGATATACTGCATTAGTTCCTTTGGTGCAATGAGTGGAAGATTCATGTTTTCAAATCTTCAGCGGCTACAGGCAGGAAAAGTGAACAGGGCAACAAGCTCTTTTTCAGCTTTGACATCTATAATTCATGTGCATGGACTGCACTCCCACTACCAACAGTTTGCTCCCTTCCTACACACATAAACACACACTCCCTGTCTTTATCCTGCTCTCAGACCACACACATCTCTGTCCAGTTTCTGCCCTTCACATCAGCCAGCCTCTTCCCTTGGAAGCGTGACCGCCTCCTCTGAACCAAGGCCTCAGTTAGAGGTGTTTTTCACCCTGGTCCACTAAGTTTGGGTTAGTTTTTGTTGGGTTTTTTTTAAGGCTTTCTTGCTGTCCTCAGTCAGGAGCTCCAGACAAAGCCTTCCTTTCTGTGAGGGAAGTACAGAACCAGGAATGTGGCCTGGACATTTATGGACAAAGGAACATTCAATGTTTCCACTCCTGTTGCCTCCTAATCATTAGGAAGAATGACTGTGCTGTGTCTTTAGCATTCCAGCTCATTTTATGAAGTCTGTGTCCTCCTGTGGACCTACATTTAGGGTAGCCCTCCTTTTGTTTGTGGCTGGGACTGAAGTGTCCAGGCACAGGGATGTAGTCTCTCTGTGCTGATCTGCATCCAGCAGACGGAATGTCATTTCCAGCCTGTTAGCCTCTGAAATGTTCTGTTTGTGAAATTAGCCTGATGAGGCGGCTGATGAGAAATTGGTGCTTATTAGCTGCTGTCATTTTTATACCCTCTTCTGTAAGTAATGGCACAGCAGCGCTTGTGATCCCATTAAATAGCTCTGGCTGGGGGAAGATAATGCTGCAAATGGAAAAGGCTTCTCAGTACCGCAGGCCGAGCCCAGCCACCTCCTCTCCCCTTCATTCCTCTGCTGCTTTCATACCCTCTGCTAGCCCAGCACTACTCCTTCTCAGGATTGTCTTCTTCAGGGGACAGCTTCATTTTGAATGGCTTCATGCAATCACGCCCAGAGGCACCAAGTCTTTTCCACTAAGCCAAGCGTAAAAATATCTGAGGGATGGGGCGAGGGAGGGAGTGTCAGCAAAACAGATATATTTAATTATATGTACCAACCAACATTTTCCCTGTGTAAGATTAAGTGTGCAGCTCGGTTTCTGATCTTACTGCATTCTCATTTAAGATTATTGAAGAAGCAGCCACCAAATGCCTGTGATAACTGGAACTTTTATAATATGCTTCCATTTGGTTTAGTACGCTCACATCTGTGTGGAACCGGATGCTTATAACTCTGGGTGTACTCATAACTAATTTTGAACAAGCCACTACACTAAGCCACCATGCAAGGAGGGAGGGTGTGTGTGGGTGTGTCTGTGGATGTGTGGGTGGTGCTGTTAAATCCAGCATCTTTAATGTGAAGGCTCCAGACTTCCTGGGGCTGGGCCTAGATGGATTTTCCTACTTTGCAGAGATCTTCTGCTCTGCCAAGCCTAGTGGCATTGTCATGGTCATCATTGTATTTGGTGATGTTCTCCAAGTCCCACGTTTCAGAATCCTGTAAATGAAGGAGAAATGGAAGTTTTTTTCTAAACCAAATTAATTTCTAATCCTCGTAGTGTGTTGGAGAAAAGCTAGAAAAGTCAGTCTGAAGGCAAAGACAAGTAAAAAGATTAGAATTGTTATTGCTTTTAAAGCTTGAGATTCTTTTTAGCCCACTCACAGTTTTTTAAATCTAGTTCAAGTCTTTTTAACCCTTCTGGTTGATACTGCTGTTCTGCACTAGTCCCATCTCTGCTGATTCAGATTATATGGGGCAAAAGGTACTTAACCCCTTGTCATGATGTTTGGATTTTGTCCTTACCTAACAAGTTGGGATGAGCCACTGTCACAAAGCACTCAAACGAACTGAGTTGAAAGTGAGGGCAGGAAATTTAGTTAAGAAAGCAGATGTGTGGGTTTTACTTGTGTGTTTGTTTTTGTCCACACCACCTACATGCACACAGAGCTGTGTTTGTTACTGGCATCCTGAGAGAGGAAATCCATTACCTTAAAAGAAGCACTTGGCTTTAAGAGAGAATAATAAGGAAAGCAACAAAGAAGCATTAGCAACATTTTCTAAAGAAGATGAGATAAATAGTCTGTCTCATAAACAAGTGGTATTATTTAACTATCCAAGGAGTTGCTTTGCAAAACAAGGCTGAATTGTTCATTGTCCAGCAAAATAACGCCTGCTTCTGCAGTCCTGGTTGCTTCTCTGACTGCAGCCCAGGCTCTGTAGGTCTCTGCTGCTGTGGACTGTCCTGCCTACCATTACTGATACTGTTTATGTCAATGTTATAACAAAAATAAGTAGAAAACAGCAATATTAAGGCTCAGGAAGGATAACGCCAAGACTTTTCAGTTGAGGGGACAGGAACAAAGGAATTCTGCCAGCCCTGAGCTTCCCTGTAGCTGTAATAGGGCCTCACAGACACACTTGTGCTTGGTTGTGTTGGCAGAGAAACACTTGGCAGAAAAATACCCTTTTGCTGTCTCAACTGCTCATTCACCTGCTCACAGAGACAAGATTATATCGCTCTGTCCTAGCACTTCTTCAAACACTGCTGAGCGTGTGCTCGTGTTCACATGTTTACCAGAACAAGGTCTCTTTTCTCCTCTTTTCACAAGACATGGTATTTCCCAGAGGAAGCCAGCAGCTCTCCCGGGGCTATGCCAGCTTTCCTACACTATGCAAACAAGGTTTAAAGATGCTGTAGAGCTCCGTGAGCGGAGTAACGGGGGGGAGGAGGGGGGCTGTGGGGTGTATGTGGGGTGTGAGGGGAATACCTTCTGTATAAAACAGCCTTTTTTTTAAAGAAATCTGTGGATTACCCAGGTCAGAGGAATCCTCAAAGGAGGAGGCAATACACACACTCGGTGCTCCCATTGCCGCTCCCTTAGCGAGCCACGGGGGACCACTGCTCCGTTACTGTGGCAACAGTGACGAATTGGCAGCCAGGCCCATCATCACACAGCCTCCTCGAGACCCTGCGAGATGCTCCGGGAAAGACTTACAGAAGGCGATTTGCATCTGAGATCCCATTTCTTTTAAATTTTGGCTTTACCTGGCAAGCCTAGAGAAAAAGATTGTTGGTACGAGCTCTCCAAGGAGAAACCCGTGTGGGAGCAGGGCATGAGGAGTGGTGAGGGGGCTCTAATTTAGATGGCAGCCCTTGCAGAGGCGGGAGAACTATTGAGCACCTGTCGGGGAGGAGTTGACTCATGTGGGAAGAAGGTCACTTACGCAGCCTCGCTCTGTGAGTACTGACCCAGCTGGCCTCTCGTACCTCCTGCTGCAAATGTTATTTATTGTTTGTAATTAACTATCAAATTCTGGGGGTTCTTGTGTCTAAGGAGAGAGATTTTCTTTTGTGCTGGCTCTAGGCTTCACGCAAAATCCATGAATGCACTGCTGGCTTTTTGTCCTAGGCGTGAATTCCTGCAGGAGCTGCAGCCTCACCCGTCAGCAGCAGGTTTCTCATAGCAAGCTCGATGAGATCTGCAGGGCAGGATCTGCAGTTTGCAGCGAGCACTGCACAATCTGTACCTTAATACCAGGTTTTGTGCTCTAGCCAGCTAATACAGTACTAGATCAGCTTTTCATTTCATTCACCATTCCAGCCTTTGTTATACAAGCTAACTTATTTGGTTTTGCTGAGATTAAGAATTTAAGCAGTGAGTAAATCAAATGCTTGAACAGGTGCAGAGAGATTGCCCTATGTAGGATAGAGTTACAAGCAACTTCATTTCAGTGAGACAAACAGATGCACCAGATAAACTGCTGCTAGAAGGAATTATTATATTGGCAAATATCAACCGTGCTCCACTGTACCACATGGATGTCATAGTCAAGCACACAGACAGTAGCTACGGGTGAGATCAATCAAGCATGGCTAACAATAGGCATCTATAAATGTAATCATGTTACAGAGCAGTATGATCATCAGTTTTTAATTCTGTCCTGAAAAATGTTAGTGAAACCTAGAGATCTGTGAAAAGAATATGCTGCTTTGTGAAAAAATAATGCATTACAAAAAAAATAATAAGGAAATATGAGGAAAAAAAGAAATGAAAGGTATCTTGTACGCCATAGATCTGAAATCTTGATCAACCTACAGCCTGGTCACATGAAAGCCAAGGAGATTTTTTTTTTCCTCCAGATGAATTTGGTGCTTGTTCTGTTCCTTGGCCAGACGGCAGCACTGGGGCATCTCTGGCTGTAATCTCATTAAGACTATTAGGCTGCGATTGTGCTTGTGCTTTTGCTGGCATGGCTTTAGGCAGACAAATGATCCTCAGAGCTCTCACAGTTGAGAGGAGACGGGGGTACGTTCTCTCTCACGAGGTTTGAAAATCTTACAACCTCGACTTTGGAAAGGCACTGTTTGCAAACCAGCTGGGAAGGCAAACAGGGACAGGTCCACTCAGCCCAGGCACAGAAGGGCAGTTTATGAACACGGCTTCTGTTCGTGTAATGGGAGTCACGTGTGTGAGTGCCCGGCACAATAACGACCAAACACACTCCCCTCAGTGTGTAAATAGTATAAAGCTGTGCCTGTGTGAGTGTTGGCATGAGAGGCTGGGCTACTACAGAAAAAACCCCCAGAAATCAGAAATTAATAATTTGTTAATTTTTCCATCCCCAGAACCAGTCCTGTGTTCTGCTTTGTCCCGCCTGTTGTAATTAACACGAGCATAGTAGCTTTTGTTTTGTTGTACTGTTTGACCAAACTGAAAAATATTTTGGTGATATTTCTGGATGTTTCTGGAGTCAGATACAACTTCTTTTCATTCAGTTTTAGCCCATTACTCTTCATTACAATTCCTGGGGACACTGTAAATACCTGTTCTTCCTCTTCTGCATTCCTGCATCATTCATATATTAGTAGATAGCTCTGTCCCTCAGCAGCAGTGGAGCTTAAATACTTCTGGATGTAGCTGGATTTCCAGCCCCCTCTGTGACCCCTGCACATGTGGATCTCCTGCACATAAACCCACACCGGTTGATGTCATTCGCGCATGAGCCTTGGGAAGCAGCCTGTGCTGAATGAGTGCCAGTGTACCACACAGTTCATAAATATGTAGAAGTAATGGGCCCTATCCCAACAAGCTTAGATTCAGAAACGTTTAGCAGATGTTCTGGCAGTGGGGGAGGAAAACAGGAGATGAATAAATACAATACTGCAATAGCAAATACTTTGTTGATGAAGCTGCACATAAATTAGAATGACAAACACACCCTTAGCAGGACTTTGACCTATCCGTAAAACAACATCGACATGTTTTATTTATAGTAGTTTCATGTTCTCAGGATCAATAAAGTGACTTCATTGATTTACTTTTCCCTTTTTATTAATACTTCTCTAAACAGTGATGAATTTGAATGGAACATAGGTAGAGTCTTTGTTATAGCTTGTCAAAGGACAATTCCAGTAGTACTAGCAAAGCAATAAGGTTCTCAGCCAGGACAACAGAGCCTTTTGCTAAAGAGAACCTAACCATGGTTAAGAGTTTGTCCCATATCTGTTTGAGATTTGGGGCTGTCAGTTATTTCTAGACAATACCACAAGGGAGCTGCTCTATGCACTTGGTTAAAGGAATAAAAAGTTGTTGCTTTAAAAACAAGTATAGGAAACAGCTCAGGCTGTCCATTAATCCAAACTCCACATAGTAAACATGCCTTTTAGACCTTAATGCATGCTACATGGAGTAAACCAGTCTCAACTTCACAGGCAGTTCTTGTGTGGAATTTTATGGCCCAAATTAGATGAAGAACCAATAAAGTGTCTCAATGATGACCTTGCAGGACTTTTCCTTACGTTTCACCATGGTGTGTTTAAATCCATTCATTTTGGTTAGTACAAGGAAATGCTGTACTTCTGATTTTTTGGTTAATGTATTAATTGCATAGTATGGCAACAATCTAGTGGTACTTCATCTGGGTATTGTCTTCTTGAATATCTGTGTTTTCTTCATTGGCAAGCAGTTGTTTTACTGCTTTGACTGATCTTGCTCCTCTTCACACACTCGAGCTGTGCTTCCTAAAGGAAGCATGAAGTGAAACTCAGCTGGGCTACTCTTCCCAGCCCTTAGCATAATGTACAGTTTTGGGAGGGAGTTTTCTGCCCTTGTGTAGCCTTTGTTCTGGGTTACTTCTACTTAAAACTTTACGGTATAGTGAAGTGAAAGTTGTGTGTTTCTCATCAGCTTCTCATATGCCCACAGTCCTGAGTCATAGCAGCAAACTCAGCTGCTATTTTGGATTTTACTGCTTGGAAAAATCTGAGAACAGTGAAATTGTCTACGGTGTTTGTGCACAGACCCAGTGCCTAGAATTTAGTTTTCAAGTACTAAAGTCTATCCTGAACACTCAGCAGATTTGCATGTACAAACTTTCCTTATTGGTTCCTGTTTGAAAGCTTATTTTCTCAGTGTGGAGGGTTAGAAACATTTTTCTACATGATCAAAATTTACTGTCTCTGATGGGCCATCTTTTTATTTCCCTGTTTAACTGCAGAAGTTTTTATCTAGAGAAGTTTCTACTTTTTCTTAGTGAGCCAATTGGTAGCTTTATTTCAAGTGAATTACAAACTTGTATTTGTTTTCTTGTAACAAAACGTCAGCAGCAATTTATTTGGAACTCAGCTCCCACCCCAGCACACAACATCAGTCTGGATTAGTGTTTGCATGTGTGTTCAGGGTGGTGGAAGGGGGTTGGATAGCATCATTTCATAAATATTATAGCTATTCAAATGCCTATGCAGTGAATAATCACTTGCAACAGGAGCATGTCGGGTGGTTGGTGACTTCTGCCTTGCATTTCAAACACAGGTAGAATACCTGTGTTATTTCTTAGGAAGTCAGTGCTATGTTTCCTCCAGAACTGGGCAATTCTTCCTGCTAACAGTTGCAGAAGACAGCAGATTTTAAGACCTCTCTAGACTAGACTAGTCCTTCAGTTTCCTCTGGAAACAGTTCATCTTTTGGAAGTGCTCAGCTGCTGATTTGTATAGAGATTACTTTTGCATTAAAAAAATGGCTCTAGCTGTCCAAGTAAATGTAAGCATGAGAAAACAAGACTATAACTCATCAAGGAGATCCCTGATTAAACTGCTTCCAACAGGTGGTAGTTTAAATACAGTGACTTTTAACAGAAACATTTGCATACAGGAGATGAGAGTTCCTGTCAGTGGAGGTGCTTCAGTGGTGCTTTGGTTTCATGTTGTGGCCTTGACTTTTACAAATACTGATGTAGAAAGTAAAAAAAAAAAAATAAATAAAATCCTTTGGCGCTGTAAATGTATAAGATGTATAAACAGGAGGGACGTTGGCAGAACACACCAAGTTCTCCTTCCATTCTGCATCATACTGGTAAGGCCTCAACTGGGAACATGCTGCATGCTGTTCCTGCACAGAGAAATTCAGGAAAGACATGGACTACAGTGAGAGCCACCAAAGGGGAACACCAGGAATCAACAGTCTCACAATCTAAACCAGGCGGACAGGCAAGAAGAAATGGAGTTTTAGGTCTGGGGAATGTAGTAAGGAGTGACAAGAGAAATCTTCATGCATCTAAAAGGCTGTTTCAGGAGTAAGAGGAACAAACATTTTGTTTCTGTTGGGTAGGATGAGAAGTAGATGTAAATTACGGTAGAAAAGATCCAGGTTAATCATTAGGGAAAACTTTTTCTAAAGGCAAAAAGAGTGAATTGTGAGAAAAGGCCATCTTGCCCGGATAGACTGTGGTGTCTGCAGCATTGGGGAGGTCTTTAAGGGGTAAAACAGATGGGGCAGAGATGCTTTCACAGGGATGGAGTTAGATGACCTCTCAGTATCCCTTCCAGTGCTGTAGTTTGGTGATCATCTTCTTGTTGGAAAATCCAGTTGCTGTGTTTTATCTTGCTAATTCCAGATGTGGGGACTCTGCTCTGGGACAGTATGCTTCCAGTGGAATTTGCTGTTCTTGGTTTTTAAAGAGATTACAAATTCCCACAGGAGCAGTCATGCACCTGGCAAGTCCTGAGCCTTGGAAGGTTGTCAGAATAGAATTTAAGGTTCCCTGGCTATTTTTACTGTGAAAATAGCTTTGATATCGTAGAGATACCAAAAACTTTCTTAAATTTTCTTCTGTAACTTCCCTCCCTTGCTATACTCCTGGGAGCAACACCTAGCTCTTATGAACTTTCAATAATTTCTCCTAGAAACAGAATACATAAAAAAGCAGGCCTTATTTTGCTATATACACTTTTCAAGAGGG